TTTTCGTAAATAAAATGAAGATGTGGGGTGGATAGGACAAAAACAAGATGAGTTAAAAGAAGAAGTTAGTTTTGTGTTTGACTATGAGTTTTTAGTCAATTTTGCAAAAACCCCAACCAATATACATGAAACTCACAAGACATGTGACGCTACTTAGCATTCTTGACAAATCCCTTATATATTAATTGAGAAACACTACAACATTATTTTGTAGCTGTGTGTCGTCATAAGAATAAAATTCAAAAATTTTAGAAAAATAGGTGGATCCATCTTAACTTTTATTATCCATCTTATTAAACTAATTATCAAATTGATAAATATTATAAAAAAGAATATTCTCGCATTTTCCTTAAATAAAAGTTCAGAATTACCTAATATGATTAATGTATATATGACATTAATTATTATGAATAATAAATATTTGATGACAATTTTTGTATCTTAGCTTTTTGTATAGTTTTATATTATTAAAATATATTAAATAACCACATTAACCATATAATAAAAAAGTAACTTTTTTTCTTCTTATATACTATATTTTGAATTTTTTAAAATGACTAAAAATTACTAAAAACGTTAAATTTTTCACACTAAAATTTTGTAATTTGGTGTAACTATTTTGTAATAACAAGATACATATGATAGAAAATTGTAAGAATATGAAATCTCATTTAATAGCTATTCGAATTATATATTAATATAGTTTTAAATTAAAATATATAACATATAAATACATATAATTTCTAAATTTGTATTGGAAAAGTATTGAAACCTTAGTATTTTACGTTTGAAATTTGCATTGAAAAAATCGCACATTAGAAATTTTGTATTTATCATATGAGTATGAATTCTCAATATTAGATATTTATATTAAAATATACAACCATTGAAATTTAGTTATATACTATATTAAATAAATAAAATAACTATTTTGATTTATTTACCAAAAATATATCTTAAATTAACAAAGATATTGTTTTGATTTATGTGCTTATTCTAATTTAGTTATATATTTAATACTTAAACTAACACAAATAAATAATAATATATAAAAATTAGTTCTATATACTTTCTCTGTTTCAGAAAAAGTGTCACTTTGACACCTGTCACGCAAATTAAAAAATTAATAAAATATATTAATTTACCTTTATTTATTATACAATTGATTAAATGAAACTTATTTAATTTAGCATTTATTAATTGTTTAAAAGGATAAAAAAGAGATTTAATATGCAAAATTGTATTAAGAATATAGAATGACATTTATTTTTTAAAAAAATTACAAAGTTAAAATGGCATGACTTTCACTCTGCACAACTGCTGGGGTTTTAATCTAGTGACAAGATATATAGGGCTTGACTGGTTCTCCCGCCATCACCCGCAAACATAGCTTTTGCGGTTGGTAGCGGTTGTTGGCGTTTTGCAACAATCACAGAAAACGTTATAAACCGCTTCATATCGCTTTGAAACTCTAAAATTCAAAAGCTGGTTCCAGCTAGCATTTGCAGTTACGGACGACTGGGGGAGGATATAAAATATTCAGTTAAAATTTTAAATTGAAATAATTGAAATACCAAAATATTTATATCATAAAATTTCCAAAAAAAAAATTCTTTAATTTTTTAAAAATATAATAGTACAGTTTTATCAATAATTTTTTATATTTATTATGAAAATATTATTTTAATATTTTGTTAATTATAGAAAATATAAATATTGTTAATTATTACTTAACAGCTGTTGTATTTGATAATAAACCAGTCATAAGTATGCCGCAAACACAATAATTTTTAACCGTTGAACCAGTTGTCTAAATCTCTTACTAACGCTTAAAACCGTAATCTACTGCATCCGCAAACACCAACAACTTCAACCGCAACCGTGCTGCGTTGTAACCAGTCAGACCCTTACTTTACATTTACTTTACACGTAACTGACAGCCGGTTTGAAGTAAGTCCAAAATATATGTCACTATTTCACATGTGTCTTGTAACAACTTCTTCTCTCTGAGCGACGCCATTGGCGATTCTTCGCTTCGGCCGTCAGAGTTTCTTAATTATTTATTTATAGTTAGTAATAGTTAATTTATGAAACCAATTCATGTTGAATTGGACATCATATCTTTCGATTTGGGGAAACCCATATTGTGTTTTGTTGCCGTCTCACCATTTGTTTATCACATATCATGCTGGTCGGATCATCACTTCTTCAGACATTCCCTATGATGAGGACGAAGAGATTAAAGGGTTTTCATCGAATTGGCGTGTGTCTTTTCTCCCAACAGGAGTGTTATTCTCCGATGTTGAATTTCCTATTTCCAAGGAGTTTCAGTATCGATGGCCTTCTCTTGCACATATTGCAAGGTTGTACAAATCATCGACGATCTCGACTTCGTCAACATAAATAATCGACATAAGAAACCACCATGGCCAGGGGAGTCCAAAGGATTGACTGAGGAACTACACTCAGATTTCAAAAAATGGTATATTTTCAGTAGGGGACACATTTGGGGTGTCTTTTCCGGGTCTGTAAGAAGGCAAGTGATATTCATTGTGATGCAGTCCGATTTCATTCAAGATTTTATGGAGTTGATTTTCATGGTGGAAAAGGATAGAGTTTATTTTCAGATGATGTGGTCACTACCGGATGTAATGGTACACGTCAATAATGAATTGATGAACACATTTTCTTCATCTGAGATACTGAGGAACCAATGGGAGAGCGTAGGATTAAATACAAAGAGTTTGCAAGTATTTATACAACAAAAGGAAATGAATATATGGCTTTATAGGTTTCAAAGCAAAAGAATTGCAATGCTATGGGTAGTTACAAAGAAACATGTTATCTCCTGCAGCGGGAGTGTTTGAGATGGATTGCAATGTATCAGATGCATCACATCCAATGATCTATTTAGAAAATGATATTTACTCACAATAGTTGAGAGCCACAAAAAAGATCTTACATGACCAAGAACAATGTGGAGGAAAGATAACGAATCGCCTATCCTACGAATATGTTAGGAAGCATCGTGTTACTACTAACTCTACTAAAAGTTTTTCTTAACAACATGTTTATTGTAACTGGTGTTTCATGTAATTTGTTACATTGATTTGAAATCAATAAAGACTAGATTTTGACCCGTGTTTGAAAGCGCGGAAATTTTTTTTGATTAAAAGTTCATATAATTAGGTTTTGTCTTTATTCAAAATATGTTTTGGTATAAAATCAGTAATCCAAAATTTGTGGTGATGATTGCTTTGCATTAGTTTTTAGTTTCAGTTTTTATTTTTAGATTTGGTTTTAGATTTTGGTTTTTGGTTTTTAATTTTTAACTTTCTAGTTTTGATTTTCATCTTTTGGTTTGGGTTTTTAGCTTTTAGATCCGCTGAGTTAGTTTGAACTCATAATTACCAACAAAAACAAATCCCAAAGAATCAAACATCTAATTTAAAACTGAAAAGATGACAATTTTTATTTTTAAAAATTGTAATAGTTTATTTTGTAAATAAACAAAACAAAAGCAAAAATATAACATGCGTTTTCAGCTTTTGGTTTTGGATTTTAATTTTTAGATTTGGTTTTTAGTTTTGCTTTACATTTTTTTTTAAATTAGTAAATTATTTAAGAAAAAAAAACTATTAGAAAAGTTACCATTGAAATTTATCAAGACAGAGTGATTATTATTTAAAATAAAAAAATATTAACATGTTTTAAAGTACATGATTTAAATAAGTGATTAATAATATGTAATTTTTTTTTGTTAAAATATTAAATACTTTTGGGCCTTAAAATAGTAATTGATTTTTTGATCCAAGGTAGAACATTTATTCAATGTTTTCTTGGAGTTTTTTTGGAGTTTTCTTTAATATTAATCCCAAAACCCAAACTATATAATTTGTCATAAAAACAAAAGTAAGCCAAAAACTCTATTCCATAAATAACTACCGGTTTAAATTAAGTAATGCGGTTCAATCAACTATATGGCTTGTATTATTTGTAAAGGGTTTAAATTTAAATGACAACTTATATCAACTTATATCAGTAGATAAAAAAAATGACATGTTATAAAAAAGAACAGATTCTACTTTTTTAATGGGCCCAGATTAATGGACTCCATAAACATTTGTTTTCATATTAATTTTATGAAAACCCTAATGTTCTAATACTCAATGCTGAAAATATGATAGAAGTCAGAGAAAGAGAGAGAACTGATCTGATTTTGTGGCTTGTCACATCGACGAGGTTGGTTTACAAAATCCAATTTGATTTTTTTCAAGAAAAAATATGTTTCTTATGTTTATTGCTTTCTGTTTTCGACTTTTTGGATCTGGGTTTATTGGTTTTGCATCAACTTTAAGTTTCTTAAAAGACTCTGAACTGTACTTTGCCTAGTAGTTTGGTCTCTAAGTATAGGTATTGGCTTTTTGACATACGAAAAAGATATGTACGAATAAAAAATTGAAACAATTTGAAAACGAAAGATGTGATTTTAATTTCATAAGCCCATTATGTTATTACTTTCAATGATTTTTGTCCAGAAAAACTTTCAAAAGAAAGGAAAATAGGATTTGTAGTTTTTCTTTTTGGAAATCTATGTATCAAAAAGTTAAAAACCATAACCATTCATAGCCCCCCCCCCCCCCTCTGACAGTGACGCACTTTAGTTAGGAATATATATATATTGTGCAGCTAATCCTCTCTGGTTAGAATATATATTTTGAAGTTTTCAAATTGTCAGTAATTATTTTTATATAATTTTTATCCTGTTACATATTGACATTATTTCTTTTAGTTGCTTTTTGAGATTTACATCGTATTACCTATTCACCAGTCGGTTAATTTGTGGTAACAATAAGGAATAGGAAAATACCACTGAAAAATAGAAAAATTGTTTATCCAAGTTTTCTATTATTTAGTATTTTCCAAAATTTTCGGTTATAAATCATGAATGCATATTAACTCTCTCGTGACAATCCTCGTGACAATCAGGTTAAACGATGATGGCAGTGAAACTACCGTATGATATGGAAGAGGAAATTCTGTCGAGAGTTCCATGGAAAACTCTTGCAAAGTTTAGATGTGTATGTAAGCTTTGGAACTCTCTTATTTTGGAAGAGAGACTCAACAAGAAGAACTTGTCGTTTCACATGCACAGCTACAGCGGTGAGCATCGGTTTGTATTCACTGAAAGTGGTCCTAAGATTTCTGCTGTGGGCATTGAGGAGCAGAAAAACGTGGTCAATCCTCCGTCTTTGATTGTCCAAGACTTTACCCTTATAAAAGTTCGACCATATGGTCCAATTAGGGTGTACAAGACTGTTCACTGCGACGGTTTGTTGTTGTGTGTCATGGACACCCAGCTTTTGGTTAGGAACCCGTTACTGAAGGAAACGAGTTGGATCAAATGCGGTAGTGACTTTCACGAACGTGATGATGCTTACAGCCTTGGATACCTCAGCCATTGTGATTACAGGATCTTAAGGTTTCGTTGTGCTAATAATTCCAGAAACAGACCTCCAAGGGTCGAGGTTTGTGAAGTTGCATCCAAGACATGGAAGGTTATAGATAACATTAGTTTTGATTGGTTCCTTAGTGTGCCATTGTCGATCCTCTCTTTGAGAGGAACTCCTTATTGTATAGGTCTTCGAGAAGATCATACCGCTTTTGTACAAAGCTATGATTTTGCAAGAGAAAGGTTTCAGCCCATAGATGACTTGCCATTCAGATATGATGAGATGAATCCTACTGCACTAGAGATTTATAAAGGAGATAGGCTTTCAGTGTTGGAGCAATGTCACAAAACAAGGAAGATATGCATATGGGTGAAGCATTGGCTTATGCTTACTTCTTGGACCAAATTGTTGGTCGTGGACATACCAGAGTTTCCGTTGTTATATCCACGTCCCAGTCTCCTTACGACGAATTATTATTTCGACAAAAACGATAGACTCGTCATAACTCGTAAGCACATTGGCATGAAGGGACTATCTATTATCAGAGTCATCAACGACAAGGAGTTCCAAATAATTGAAGCTAATGCATCGGTAACTCGTTTCGCTTTTCTATGCAGCTACGTTCCTAGCTTTGTTAGGATTCCGGGGTTTTCAAAGCAGGACACAAGTAGGATTCGGTGGAGAAAACGTAGATTCAACTAGTTTGTGACTAAATCTTTTTTTTTTCTTTTGTGCGATCTTGTTGGTTTTCTTTTTGTTTTGGACTTTTAAAACATGCAAATATCTTTCTTGTTATTTGAAAGTTTCAACAAAATTAATTAATGTTTTTTATCTACTATGTACGTGGAATCAGTGGCGTAGCCACAACCTTTTCTTACTGAGAGCGGAGTATATAATAAAATAATAATTATAACAATATTCAAAATATTTAACATTTATTTATGAATTTTATTTATTATATATCCAAATATATTTTTGAATAAAAATATTAAAATCATTAAAATTGGCCACAAATGTAAGTTATGATCAAATTGTATATACTTTAAAAAGTTATATTTATTTTAGTGACCAATTAATCAATAAAAACTATAATCATTTAGTGCTTTTTAACAAAAAGTTTGTTCAAAATTATATTCACAAAAGGTTGAAAAGGTTTTCTAACATGACGGTTAGTTTGTATTTAATTATTTAAAATGTATATCTAATATTATAAATTTAAGATTTAACTTTTCGTCATAGTAAAACTTTTGAGGGGAATAATTTTAAAATTTAAGATTTAACTTTTCAAAATTGTGTATATTTAATAATTTTATTTTGTTTTTTGAACTGTCAATTCTATTACTCACTTTCTTATTATATATTGTATCAAATTTGCATTGGTTATTTTTATGCTTGTTAGATGATTTTATAATTTTTTAAATAAAAAAAAGATAATTAATAAAGACCTATTCAGTATTTATGTCAGCTTCAGTTCTGTTTGATTTTATTTTATTTGGTTAGATCTATTTGCCATTTTTTTTGAATTTTGTTATTTTTATTAATTAATGACAAACGCATCTTCAAATTAATTAGTTAATTCACGGTTAACATAAAATATAAACACTTTATATGTTATTTTGATTGTTTCATTAAATATGCAAAGCATAGAGTAACTTTATTGGTGTATCGGATATAGACTTATGAAGAATCACCAGGTACTTTTTTATTGTTAGTGAATTGTTTAAATTCTTTTTTTTGTAGATTACATTAATCTTTATTTGTTTTTTTTTTTTTTTTGAGAAAGGACATATTAACCTTCTTGATTGTTTTCGATGAAGATTTAGATTATAATTTTCTAAGAAACATTTGTGTCAAATCTAAATTTCTTGGGGTATAAATTCTGAGTTTTTTTTTTGTTTTCTCTAAACTTGTAAAATCAAACAAGTATAACATAAATTTTGACAGTTAGGCTAGCTATAATTTTTTTTTGTCAACATGCTAGCTATAAATAAAACAAGTAATAACCATGTCAAGTAGTCATTAGTTAGTTCAACATCCTTTAAAAAATTCCTTGTGGGCGAAGTGGAAGACAAACAGAATATGTAAATATACAGTAATTGATATGGTTTGATAAAATATTAGATTTTGATCCGTACAATCATGCGGGTGTGGCTGATCATTTTCATTTTATACAAATATTAGATCTAAATGATTAGTGGTATATAATTTTAATATTTACCATATTGTTAATAGTTTAATATAATATTTTCAAAGATAACAATTTCATAGATTGAATGCAGTAATTTAATTAATTGTTTCAAATTATTAGTGATAAATCTTATATATAAAAACAAAAGTCATAATTTTGATTCATGTGTGATTTGACCATCACTAGAATTTTTTACTATATGCATATTTCATTAAGATTAATAATATATATATAATCTTTATAATACTTTAATCACAATATTTTTTGAGAACTTTTTATTTCATTTTAAATATAAATTATTTATTTAAATTTTACCAAATCTGTTTTAAAATTTTTTACAAGACCTTCATTTTTAATATTATCTTTAAATATTTTCACTAATTTCGCAATTAGTTTGAAATATTATTGTTCATTAATATATTCAGTTAAATTTATAAAATAAAAAATTATATCATATTATATATTATATAATCATAATCAACCATATTAAAAAGAAAATTATTATATTAAGCTAAAAAAAGTTAACTACATGTATTATATAGTTTGCTAATGTTAATCTATCTTACCAACATATTAGATTTTATTTTTGAACATAAATCTTTTATACTTATGAAAATAAAATATATAAATTATCAATTTAATTCAAGTTTACTTTTAAAATGGACCATCACTAGAAATTTTTACTATATGCATATTTCATTAAGACTAATAATATATATATATAATCTTTAAAATAATTTAATCATAATATCTTTTTATATGTTTACATTTTAATTTTAAATATAAATATATTTATTTAAATTTTAACAAATCTGTTTTAAAATATTTTATAATACCTTTATTTTTTATATTATCTTTAAATATTTTCACTAATTTTGAAATTAGTTTGAAATATTAGTATTCACTAATATATTCAATTAAGTTTGAAAAATAAAAAATAAAAAATTATATCATATTATCTATTATATAGTCATAATAAATCATATTAAAAAAAAATAAGGGCAATTCTCCATAATAGCCCTTTTGAAGTTTGTATCTCCAATATAGCCTCTTAAGCTAAAAGTCAGATTAATAACCTTTATTAATAGATCAAAAAGTCTAAACTGCCATTTCACTAACTAAAAAAAAAAAAAAAAAAGGAATCGACGAAGATTCAACGTCTCGTCTCCGTCATCACCTTCCTCTCTCCTTCTCTCGATGATGCCAGAGACAAATCCGATTGCACAGTTTCACTTCCGATCAGATTCCGGTCATCTTCTCCGGTTACACTGCTGAGTCAGAAGACTCCTCTTCTTCCGAGATGTCTGATGATTCCATCACTTACTCAACTAAATCATCAGATGATGACAACAACAAAGAGGAGGAGGTTGACCAGGCAAGTTCTGTTTCCCATTGTTTATAATCTCTGTTCTTGTCGGAATCTAAGAGATCAGTACATGTAATAATTAGAATCTGAGATCTGTTATATTTTTTATAGGTTCAGGAAAGTTCAAAATCGGTGAGGAGTGGCATGAAGGTTCTTATGAGACAGTCAACGAGGAAAGGACATAGACTGATGAAGATGAGATCTATGAAGCGTGTAACTTTCCTGAGGAAGAAGAATCTTGATTTGATTTCCAGGAAGGACTTAGGAGGGTTATTAGAGCCTCGTTACTTGAGACCAACAAGCTCTTCAGCTTCCAAGAATGTGGAAAACATTCAGAAGAATCTCCAAGCAGCTAGGTTGAAGAGAATGACGGGTTTGAGACACAAAAGGTTGCTGAAAGCTACTTGTTCTTCAGCTATGAAAGGTTCTTCTCCTTCTTCTAAGAAGAGTGATGATGTGTGCAAGTATAAGTATTGTTCTCTCCACGGTCAGCCTCATAGCCACGCTGCAGATAATATATAATAATAGTAACAGCAGTGTTCATGTTCCGTCTTTGAAGCGGTTTATGTCGATGAGGAGGAAGTTTGTGAAGAGGCAGAAGAGCGTGAACCCGCGTTTGGGGATGTTAAAACGGACTTTGAGTAGAAAGAGTCCTTTAGGCGGTCGGGTTGTGACTGATCAAGAATCAGAGCAGGTGGCTGATGGAGAAACTAATTAAGAGGTTTTTGAAGAAGAGGTTTCTAGTTGGGAGAACTGTGAAAGTGATTCAGAATTGAATGGAAGATCTACTGAGACTGTTGATGATAATGTGGATGGAGGAATGGATTCTATGGAGACTGCTGCATCATCTGGAAGAGAATGTGTCGCTCAGGCCTTATAAAGAGATGAAGAAGAGGGTTGAATGCAAGAGATGAAGTAAGTCTTATAAAGAGAGAGTTTTATTATGTATCTCTGCCAAGCCTTTAGCTTCCATTTATCTCCAAAGTACTCACTTTATTCTCAATCTCTCAAAGAATTTCAGGAAGTTTCATTTTCAGGAAGTTTATTTATGTGTCTTGTTTCTTTACTGTGATTTATGAACGTACTTAATGAGAAATGTGAAATCAATGGGGTTAAACAAGGATGTTATCTTGTGTGTCTGCGTATGAATGTACTCGAAGAGGACTGAGTTTAGTAGAATTCTCCTCGACCTCCAATGGTTTATCTAAAATAAACGCAAATCAAAGAGAGTATAAAAATAAAACGTCCAGAAATATTTATCAACAAGTAGCTCAGGCAGCAAACCTCTCAAGCTTGCCTCTGAGACCAACAGACTCTCTTCGCTAAATATGTGTCTCTCATCTTCCTTGGTTGGAGAAGCTAAGTGCAGATTCTGTACTGGTTCCTGGATTATTCAAAGAACTCAAATACTTCATATTCAGTAGTATAATATACAAGGAGCACCAAGTTATGTCGATGTTTTTTTAACAAGAGGATCAGCATACCCATAGATGTGAAGCATCAGGAGTTTCCCCACCAAATAAGTTCCTGGCACCCACATTCCTGTGCAAGAGTACATTATGAGGGAAGACGTTCTGTCATGTTAAACGATTAAGAACTAAACCATTCAAATGGGTACCTTTGTTCTTTGCATGTAGGTTTAGCACTTTCTGCAATAGCTGATCTATGAACTCCGAGTTTTTTGACCGAGCTTTGAGATATTGAACTTTGATTTGTACCCATCAGCGGAGAACGTTAGCCTTCATCTTACCAATTAGCAAACGTTGCTTATGACATTGTTAGTCTTTTGTTGCTGGTGCTTGTGAAACTGTGTGTTTATAAAGTTTTCATGAAGTGTTTGTGTATTTTCAGGAAAGCTTTCGAGAAACTCGAAAATTTTGAAACTTTTTTTGCTTGGTATCTTGTTCTTCTTAGGCATGTTGATATCTTTGATAGACTCTTGAATTTTCTTATTAGTCGCTTGTTGCTGGTGGTTGTGAAACTTTCTAGTGTTTATAAAGTTTTCAGGAAGCGTTTGTGTATTTTCAGGAAAGCTTTCCAGAAACTCGAAATATTGAAACTTTTTTGCTTGGTGTCTTGTTCTGCTTAGGCATGTTGATATCTTTGATAGGCTCTTGAATTTTTGCTTATTAGTCTCTTGTTGCTTGTTCTTGTAAAACTATCTAGTGTTTATAAAAAAATCAGGAAGTTGTGTATTTTCAGGAAAGCTTTTCAGAAAGTCGAAATTTTGAAACTTTTTTTGCTTGGAGTCTTGTTCTGCTTAGGCATGTTTATATCTTTGATAGGATTTGAATTTGCTTATTAGTATCTTGTTGCTTGTGCTTGTGTAACTGTCTAGTGTTTATAAAAAGTTCAGGAAGCATTTGTGTAGTTTCAGGAAAGCCTTCCAGAAATTCAGAAATTTTGAAACTTTTTTTTGCTTGGTGTCTTGTTCTACTTAGGCATGTTGTTATCTTTGATAGGCTTTGAATTTGCTTATTAGTCTCTTGTGGCTCGTGCTTGTGTAACTGTCTAGTGTTTATAAAAATGTCAGGAAGCATTTGTGTAGTTTCAGGAGAGCCTTCCAGAATAGTTTGAATTTTTTATATTTGCTAGCCTAACATTTTTATTTTTAGTTAAATTTTCAGGAAGCTCTTACTGAATGTTTTACTTGCTATCCAAAATATTTTCCAGGAAGCATTTCCTAATATTTTACTTTCTAGCCTAAAATATCATTTTCAATTAAATATTAAAAATTTTCAGGAAGCCTTTTCTAAATCTTCTTAAATATTTTACTTGATATCATAGCATTTTCCTTTTTAGTTAAATATTAAATTTTCAAGAAGCCATTCCTAAATGCTTCATCTGCTATCCAATATATCTCTTTAGGAAGCATTTCCTAAATATTTTACTTTTTAGCCTAAATTTTAATTTTTAGTTAGATGTTATATTTTCAGGAAGTCCTTCCTAAATCTTCCTAAATATTTTACTTGCTAGCCTAACATTTTTTTTTTAGTTAAATTTTCAGGAAGCTCTTACTGAATGTTTTACTTGCTATCCAAAATATTTTCTAGGAAGCATTTCCTAAATATTTTAGTTTCTAGCTAAAATATTAGTTTTTTATTAAATATTAAAAATTTTCAGGAAGCTTTTCCTAAATCTTCTTAAATATTTTACTTGATATCATAGCATTTTGCTTTTTAGTTAAATATTAAATTTTCATGAAGTCATTCCTGAATGCTTCATCTGCTAACCAATATATCTTTTTAGGAAGCATTTCCTAAATATTTTACCTTTTAGCCTAAATTTTATTTTTTTAGTTAAATATAAATTTTCTGGAAGTCCTTCCTAAATCTTCCTAAATATTTAACTTGCTAGCCTAACATTTTTATTTTTAGTTAAATTTTCAGGAAACTCTTACTGAATGTTTTACTTGTTATCCAAAATATTTTCCAGTCATCACACTCGAAATTAAATCTTATACATGTAAGTTTGATGGTTTTTACTTGTAAATTAAAGATTAGATCCAAATAACCCATCTTGTTCCAAATAAATCTTATATATGTAAGTTTGATGGTTTTTGCTTGTAAATTAAAATTAGATTTTCAGATCAAAATTTTAGGTTATCAATTTATGTTGAATTTTAGCTTATTTCTCTTGAAGAATCAAAGAAAGAGTGAAGAATCTCGACCCCTTAATATAACCTTTCAACACAGAGACTGGCTCAAACCCATCAGTCTTCCCACACTCGTACATATACCTCACCGCCAAGTCATCTCAATTAAAACTGTTCTTAGCTTGAATTCTGGTGCCGGCTTCGAGTTTCTTGATAACCAAGATCCTCTTGTTACCCCTCACATCACGAACGTTCCTTCATTCAACACCTCTTTTGAGGATCTTACTGGTTGTTTTGGTAAGAAAAAGGTTCAGGGAATAGAAGACACAAGCGTATGATCAAGAACAGAGAATCTGCAGCTCGTTCCCGAGCTAGGAAACAGGAATGTGCCTCTCCTCCTCTAACTAACCTTTTACTGAAAAGATAAATCTGGTTTTGCCATCAAAATGTTTTTGTTTAAAAAAGGTTTTGATTCTCGTTCGCAGGCTTATACAAACGAGTTAGAGCTTGAAGTGGCTCACCTGCAGACAGAAAATGCAAGACACAAGAGGCAACAAGAACAGGTAAACAAGCAGAGAGAAGTTCTTATTGTTTTTTGCCCATTATAGGTTATGTCCAACTTAAAAAGAAATAGTCATCCTCTGCATTACTTGTAGTATCTTTGTTTCTACACACGTTTTTGTCCAGTGACATGTTCAGTTGTTAGATACTAATAACTTAAGTTCTGTATGTGTTTGTCCAGCTAAGAATGGCGGCAGCAAATCAGCAACCAAAAAAGAACACACTCCAACGGTCTTCCACAGCTCCATTTTGAGAAAATCTACAAGTCCTTTTACCAGTACTCAAAAGCTTCGTGATGATCTCTCCAATTCTTTTCTTATCTAAACCATTCTTGTTACAAACCAAAGCCGCTTGCTTGTACTTAGCAATCATGATGACGTAACGTGAAAGCTCCTCAGAGTTGAACTCGGATCCTAATTCGAAAGCTGCGACTAAGTGAAGAAACAGTAACGCCTCGAAAGTTTAGCAATCATTGCTTGTACTTACATCAACAGTTTTCCCCGATGAGGGAGTTTTGCTCGAGCCATAGATTGCGTTAAGCACCATCAACGCCGGATCTGGAGAGTAACGAAACGCTGCGGAATAGGTTAGGCATCGCGTCATCATCCCAATGATCAGTTAGAAACTTGGTTATACCTTTGAATCATCGGTTACGATTTTAGGAAAAGCGTTTGGTAAAGGAGGCTCGGATTGGAGGAGGCGGAAACGGTTAGAGAGGGTGGATTGGAGAGAGGAGAAGTGGGAGTCGATCTCAGACCAAGAGAGAGTGAAAGAAGGTGAGAGTTGGAGAAGACGACGGTTGGGATTTTCATTTTTTTATTTATTTAATATAATTAGAGAAAGAAAGGGACATAGAGGTAAATGATCCTATTAAATGAAACCTATTTTTGTGACTTTAAAACTTGAATGCTAGTTTGGGAAAAAAACTTGGTTTGGTGCTATCCTGGGCATTTTCTCAAAAAATAATAAGGAATCAAATATGTGTTTGTTAACCAATTCGGTTTTATTGGAGTCGATTGTTATATTAGGAATGAAATATTTACAAGTCATATTATTAGGAATAAATTTATAACCTATTTTTAATTAGGATCTATTTTTAAAAATATCACACATGAATCAAGATTGTGACTTAGGTTTTGTTATATAAGATATATTGTAGAGGTAAGCAACGAATTCTGTAATATTTGATATTACAAATACAAACCTATAAATGTTTTTGGGTTCATTGCTGTAGCGAGAAGCGCAATAGGCTTTCAACACTTATCATCAGTTTTGTTTGGAAATTGGCAGCAACATTACCACAAAGAATAACATGAAAATTGACCCACCTAATCTGATTAGAATATGCAAAAAGAAGCTGAGTAAAATTTATTTAAAATTATAAGAACTATGAACTTGATGACAAAAAAAAACAAGAAAATCACATAAAAATCCCGAAAGCTGCATTTATTGATATTATAAACTTTGATTTTTTTTTACTATCACTTTAAACCTTCAAAGCGACACTTGTATCATAAAAAACCTTCAGCATGAAAAATAGACATGTTGAACAAGTAAAAAATGTAATTTTTGGATTTTTTCAAAAAATAAACATTTAATAAATAATAAAAAATGAATAAATTTTAAAACTAACTTACTTTTCAAAAAGTTAAAGAAAATTTCAGAACATAAAGAATTTTTTCAAAAAAAATAAATTGAAATATCAAAAATTAAATAAAATTCAGAAATTAATCAAAAATAAAGAAAATTCACAAAATTTGAAAAGTCAAGAATTCAAAATAGTTTTAAAAAATTACAAGATTATGTTTTAAACTGTTTGAAGCCATCAATATTGATATGTTTGAAAATTTTATTGTCAACGATGATATTTCAATACTTATTAGAAAATTGCATTAAAATTACAAGACTGCTTTAAAAAATAAAACTAAAATATCATCGTTGACAATAAAAAATTCAAACATATCATTATTGATGATGATGGTTTCAAACAGTTTTTTGAAAAACATAATTTTGCAATTAAAAAACTATTTTGAATTGCTAGTTGCTAGTTTTTGTGAATATTCTTTAATTTCTTTTATTTTATGTATTTTAATTTTATCACATTTATTTTTATAATTTTTATTGGATTTCTGTATTATTTTTGAAATTATTTTATTTTTCTGAATTGTTATTTAGCTTTCTGATTTTTATTTTAATTAGGCATTTTAATTTAATTTTTTTTAGTGAAATCATTGTTTTTGAAAAAAAAATGACACATCATCGTTTTTACCTGTTCAACAGATCAGTTTTTTAAGTTGAAGATTTTCTGTGAAACAAATGCCACTTCGAAAAATTAAATTGTTAAAAAATTCAAAATTTAAAGTATCAGTAATTGCTATTTAAAAAAAATATTATGCGAAATCCCCAAAAAAAACTATGAACTTAGGGTAAATCATGATCATTTTTTATGAGCATGAAAACACTTGGATACCTGACAACTATTTATATTCACCCTAATACCTCCCATATTAGATAAATTTTATTTTATATATTAATTGAATTTCTCTTTTTATATGTTTTAGTTTTTGTTATTTGGACTACTTTAACCTCAAATTTCCTAATTTGTTTTTTGTAATTCAAAGGAATATTAGAAAATTCATTTTTTATACATTGTGAATTGTTTAGATGATTTTTTTGTTACTTTTACTATTTTAAGATTTTTGGTTGTCAGCACTGTTTTAACATTAGATTATTAAATTACTATTTTTTTGTATAAAATGTATTTTACATTTATTATACCTAAGAAGACAATAATGTTTCAATAATATTATGATTTTAATTTTTGATTTTCCATTTAACAATAATAATTATTTTCAAACAAGTTGTAAAATGTTAATATTTAATTTAAAGAAATATTAGAAAATTCTTTTTTCATACATTGTGAAATGTTTAGACGAATTTTTCGTTACTTTTACTATTTTATTTTTGTATGCAATATATATTACCATTTATAATATCTAAGAAGACAATGATGTTTTGTTAATATTACTATTTACTTTTTCCGTTTTTCCATTTTACTATAACAACTAGCATTTTTAAGTAATTTGTAAATTGTTAATATTTATTTTATTAGTTTAAATATATTAATTAAATTATTTTTAATATAATTTTGAAATATTAATATTTTTAAAAATAATAAACTAATGAATTGATATATCTTAATTTGATTGATGGTCTCTTAAATTCTATTTAGATGCTATTAATGACTTATAACCTCTATTTTTGTATAATATAGATTTGTCTCCACAGAATATCACTACCGGAGTTATTTTCAAACATTGTATATAAGAGATTTTTGAGAAACAAACCTAGAAATAAGGTTTTTTTTTTATCACAATGAGAAGTGCAAAAATCATCTTAGTACGAATCCGTGAATGACGAGTTGCGAGTATCTATCTAGTATGGCAGCGACGTGTTAACATATGAGAAAACACAATTCCTTGTATGAGCATGTCTTGCAAGGAAATTCGCTTGGGTGTTACTGGATCTGTTCTGGTAGACCACTTTTCCGTCTTGGTAGGACGTCCATAGAGTTTTAAACTCATCGAGTTCAGCTGCGAAGGCTGGCCAATCTTCAGGTGTAGCTAGCATTTTAACTAACATTTGGGAGTCAGTAACAGAAATAATCGCAAAACCGCTGATGGCGAGATAAACATTTCAATGCCCATAGTAAGCTCTTTAGCTCTGTATGTAAAGGCGAAATTTGCTTGTGGCAAGTAGGCCAAGTAGGTCTACTGATCCATCTTGAAGCTGTAAAATCCATCCTACTTCACTCGTGGTTCCATCATTCTTTCACGATCCATCCACACGACAGGTGAATATGGGTAGTTGTGGAGGGTTCCTTGGTATGTGACCTGCTTCGCTTTCGTCTGGATCGATCTCCTCATTAGCCAAAAACCAAGCATTACATTCTCGTAAGGCCAGATTTAGTGTATCCTCTGGTGAAAAATCACGTCCGTTAGATAGTTTACGATTTCGTGCTTTCCAGATGTACCATATAATCCAAGGAAAAACTCTGGTTGCCTCCTCCAGATTCCCACCAACGTTAGCCCTTGAAAGGAGATAGTCTATATTGGTGTAAAGGTTCTGTGAAGGAAACCCCCCCCCCTCCGGATCTGATGGAATCGTCGAAAGGGCCCAGCATTGCATAGCTGGAGGGCATGTAAATACCATATGGTTAAATTTTTTCCTCCTCATGCCCACATCTTAGGCAGCTAAGATCGTTTCCAGCATATCTCTTAAAAAGTCTTTCATTCACTGCTACTGATTCCGATAGGATCTGCCATAGGAAATGACTGAGTTTTTTCCCAGTTTTGACTTTCCGGGCTTTTTCCTTTAGAGAATTAAGAGACGGCATATGATTCCTAAATTCCTCACTATCTGGTCTTTATCTTGCCAGCATATAACCTAATTTGACCGAACACTTCCTAGATAGATTCCAGCAAAATCCCTCCGGTTTGGGATTTCTTCTGAGGTGTAAGCTTCGTACCAACGGGATATCATTTGGGTGTAGGAGATTCCTGAGTTTAGAAATGTCCGAGTCCTTGTTTACTGGATTTATTAGGTCAGAAATAAGGTTATGAGAATCTTTAGCTTGTTAGATATACTTGTTGACTTTGGTTACAATAACGAAATAGTGTATTGAATGTAAAAATAACATGACATTTCCTTAGGGTTTAAATATCATAATTCAATCTATCAAATTAACTTATAAAACTGAAATTAAATATTTTTACCAAAAGAAATCTAGTTGAAGTACTTAGGGACCAAATCCACAAAAAACGAAGGTACACAATAGATTTGTATTATTATAACGGTTAAGCTAGGTGATATGTTTATATAAGTTATCAGGTTTGAGTAAAAAGAAAATATTTGAAACTTAAATAAATTCAAATATGAAAATAGCTAGATCTAAGGTTTAATCACTTGGATTATAATTGGTAGAATGCATGGTTACACCAATATGATAGAATTCAATAGTCAACTAATTTGACTCCCTCTCGTTCCAACTATGAATACGAACAGAGAGAATGACCATCGATTGATGATGTAACACTGGTATCGATTGATGGTAAGATCAGACATGAAATATGAAGAGTTTGATATGTCCACTAAGATTGATAAACCAGCTCGTGCATGCGTCTAACAACCTAGTTCAACATAATTCGTTTAGGCACAGAACCTACTCTCGCAGTTGTTTATGTCCTAAGTTCAGGTTTCTAGTTAGCTACTCTAGAACATAAGAATTAAGAACAATTCTAACTGATGGAAATTAACTCATCCTAAAAATTCTAATTTTGGCTAATCTGTCAATTCTATTAAGAACCCTAAATCTAACAAGGTGAACTACTCATACATTATCAAGCAAACAAGCAAATAAGACTGATTAGAATGCATAGCTAAGAATTCTTTGATCTTCTCCTCAAAGATAGTATGAAAAACTCTAGAGAACAAAAGCACGCTTCTCTGCTTAACAATGGCAGAGACCTTTATAAATTAGGTTGAAATCCGTCAGAGGGCAATCTTGTAATTATTTGTAATTTGGGTTTCAAGTCGGTTCTGAACAA